TTCAGACTGGATACATGTTTGGAAAAGGTGTCTACTTCGCTGATATGGCATCTAAGTCTGCCAACTACTGTAGGGTAAGTTTGCAGAACAAGCCTAAAGCAACAACTCCAGATCAAATTGGTAGGGCACAGCCAGGGTGAATAACGGTCGAGGAATTCCTCGACCATGGCTCTCTACTGTGCGAGAGTAGTGCCGAGAGTGAACGTACGCGCGGAGAGCACAGACGGCTCGCGCATGGCGAGTGTGAATGTCCGCGCGGGAGAACGTACTGATCAGGCGAAAATCCTCGACGTGCCGTTGAGGAATCCTCGACCGATATTCACCCTGGTAGCAGGTCGATAATGAAAATGTGGATGACGATCTGACTGAAAATGAAAAGAGGAGCAGAAGTACACCGCCAATGAAGCCATTACCAAGAGCTCCCTCTCTTCTCCCTTGACATAAGGGAGGTGTGTCCGGACAAACTTTCTGAACCCACTTGCTCCATGGCTCCGCGAATCCGCGTGTATTTGAATTAGCCGCTACGTGTCATGGGGTATGCGCAGCACATCTCGTCCATAAGCCCACATTAGCCGCCATTAGCTCACTCGTGAGGCTCCAGCGACAACGGCATCTGTGGTACCAAGGGCAACTCTACCCACATCATAAACTGTTCGACACGACCTCATCTGGGTTGTTGCTTTGATGGATTTCAGCCACTGTGTAATGCAATACTTCCAGGTGTTCTCTGATAATACGGATGGTCTTATGCTGTTATGCGATGTTGCACTGGGCAAGGTGAAACAAGAGATCAATGCTGTTGACCATTCACTGAAGACAATCAAAGGCTACAACAGTGTGCAGGGTGCGGCGAGCTCCGCGTTTTTTCCGCACTTTGTTAGCTGTTATCATAAATATGCAAGTGACTGTCGTTCCAGGTTTGGGCGGAATGGAGCCCGATCCTACTCAGTTAGTTGTGTGTGAGGAAGGGTACTCAATAAACACTGCAAAGCCTGTCAAGACGGACAGTTCGAAGAATCGCACTTTGCTCTACAATGAGTAAGCCTTTCTCGTTCTCAAAAATTTGTATTTTCACAAATTCACTGCGTTTCAGGTACATTGTTTACGACGTCGATCAAATTTGGATGCGTTATCTTGTCCGCACAAGGTTCAAGATGTCCACGACTTTTGCATAATCTCGGCTTCATTAAGATATTCCTGCAAACATTTGAAGGAAAACATGACAAACCTCACTTTCAGTAGATTCCACTCTATGTCAGTTGAGTACAGTAATCTGAGATAGGAGCTTAAAAATTATTGTTTTGGGAGACCTTATTTACTGACGAGAATAGTTGTTTCACTTCTAGTCTGTCCAAGCAACCATAGCGACTCTGAAGCTTCCACTTTCTGAACTAATTCAGCGCTGCTCGCAGCTGAACATAACTGGCATAGCTGATGGAATCTACTGTACACTCTGCTTATAACCTCATTCGGCAAACTGCGAAGGTGCACTTTATATGGTCTACATTCATGTTGAGTTCCTTATAGAAACTGAAAAGGCTTGAGGATCCTTCTCATCGCATCTTCAATTTCTACTAACGGATATGTTGTAAGAATCGCATCGAGCAGGTGAAATTGAAAACCAAACGATTTTCAGGATTTTATTGTAATTGTGAAAATTAAGGTGAGCGGTCCTCAACGCTTTCGCGAGTGCGCGCAATTCCGAGTATAATGTCATTTAACCTCGGTTTCTTTTCCTTTCATCTCTTGGAGTAAGCTTTAATGTATATCATGCTGGGAATCGTCTCCTTCGCTCGTCCTACTACTGCGATATGTACAATACGAGCGCGGCCAGGGGCACAAGCCATGATGTGGTGTCGGTGCCCTGTTGCAGTTCTGCAAAATCGTCAGCACATTCTATATAATATGCATGTATGCATGATAACCTTGTAAGCACAGTACGCGCTTGTTCACCGCTCCTGTTGGAGACCGCGCGTGTTTTAGGTGTTGCGGCCGCGTGAGACTGCAGTGAAATGTTTGGGAATGCTCAAATCTAATGTATGATGCAGAAAAAACCTCATACAATAAAGTGGAAAAGAAAACAAAAGAAAAACTTACTATTTTTTCCCGAAATGTGGAATGCTGAAAAACCTTCGCGGTCGACGGATTGCAGCCAAGTCATGGGATGCATGGGCTCCGAAGTGTAAACTGTTCATGTGCGCGGAAACCGGGGTGCTGTCTAGTGTTAAGGCGGCAAACGACATGCGAAAATTGCCAAAAGTCAAAAATGAGAAGAGCGCAGAATTTCAAATAATAGCAAATCATATACTTAGCACTTTTTGCAACAGCTCTTCCTGTGAAGCTGCTGCTCATCAATGTCAGTGCTGCGAGATCTTGCGCTTTGAATCCTACACTAGATAATTATTACTGAGAGATTTCGAGTGAAAAGTTTTCCCTGAAAGCAGGAGTAGCAACTTCTCTGTTTTCCCATGTTATGACCCATTGCTTCTTGTTCTATAGATTCGATTCCGAGTAAATCAGTCGTTTGATGTTCTTAGACCTATGAATGCTTGCCCACACAATACGAAAGCTGAACAGGTTTTACCTTGATGTCTGGCAGCTTTTGGGGGTTTCTATAGCCTTAATACCAGATAACATCATCACTATCAAATGCGTATGGCAGTTAGAGCAACTAAGCAGCGGGGACTGTGCCTTTTTAAAACATGATCTTTTTCTTATCGCTACCTTCATTCCATCAGATCTTCTGCTATTATTTACAGTAGATCTCAAATATGCTTCTTCCGTAATCTACTAGAGCATTATTGTACGTTTTTTTTGCTTGCTTAGCATCCCAACATTATATTCTTGAAGCTACGTGTCCGGAAATTCGGTTATTATTCTACTGGCACCTTATTTGTGAAGATTTTGCATGTTCATTTTTATATCGAATTTAGAATAAAGAATTTGCTTATATTACAGGTATTGTATTCACGCAATGCGATGTCAGTGAAGCATATCAATTAGTATAGGCCGCTACGACACTAACCCTGACCGCACATGAAGGCTATGAGCCTATCCTTGCGTTCGTTCAGGATTCCTAACACTGCCTCAGAAGGAGCTGTAAGCTTCAAAGCATTCATGGTGTTGCTCGATGCAGTGCACACTCATGAATACGTACTTGTTGGAGTTACGTAAGAGTTTGGGTTTTTTTCTTCTAGAAGGTTAGCCGTGCTGTTTGGAGTCAAGATTGAGACGTTCTAATGGCAGCTGACAAGGGGGGTCTTTCAGGGCAAGCCACGCTTTTTCAAAACGGTTTCTTGCATATTGTAGGGACGCATGTAGGGAACACAAAACCATGTTTCATTTTCGCTGAACGGTTATAGCAGTACCAAAAAAGAAGCATAAGGTACTGATAATGGTTGGCGACTAAATTTTGCATTTGGGTTGGCGCCTACGGTTGGTGCCAAATCGCGCTAAATGTCAAAATCAGATGTCATATTCATCGTCAGGACCATTTTGAAGCCAACAAGTGGCCGCCAACCTTGATTGCAAAATTTAGTCGCCGCGGGGATCGAACCATCAAGGGTATCATTCACCACTTTTTTGATACTACTAAAACCGTTCAGCGAAAACGAAACATGGTTTTGTGGTCCATACATGCGTCCCTACAATATGCAAGAAACCGTTTCCAAAAAGCGCGGCTTGCCCTGAAAGACCCCCCTTGTTAGAACTATCTCTGACGTATCACCTAATCACTTGTAAGCAAGACTTCAGCTGATTTCGAGCGGACAACTCCTACACGCATGCATAAGTAAGTACTCCGGTATTACCAGCCAGACCACTCCGTATTACCAGCCAGACTCAGCGAATTGTGGTAGGGCAATGACTTCTCCAATACACTTGAAAATACATGACGGCTTATGCCCTCCCTTCCCCCTCCCACTTCCTCCAAATGCCGAAGCCGTGCCAAATAATAATCAAATTGGAGGTGATTTCAGTTTGAAACCTAAAACCAAGACGCAATCCGAATAGGCTGATCAGCGCAGGTTATTTCCTACCGTTCGTGGAATAGGATCAACGAAATCACTTATTTTTACAAGCAGCCGATCGCGCTCCTGAATCGTTTTTTGAAGTGGTCCAAGAGAGTTTTAGTTAGAGCGCTTCTTTCATTTCCATAGCGCAGCAAAGTCCTGTTTTTTCAAAGTAATTCATACCATTAATTTTGGAATTTATGCGAAATTAGACTCCAGAGACTTGGGAGTTCTCACTAGCCCAACTGCGCCACGTTGGGTCAAAGGCTTTTTTACTCATTCTAAAAGTGCATTCACGTTTGGCGGACAATTTGCGCGATTCTGACGCCGTTTGAGTTTCCCTCAGGGGTTATGCTGCAATTCTCTGTCATCTTTTTGCTACCCATATGTCCCTTGCTGGACGCTTCGACTCGCCTTCCGCTATATTTTCCACCGCATTCAAAGCGCATTCGTTTTCTTTTCAATAATTTGCTGTTGAATTCCTCTTATTTTCTTTAGGTGAGTAATAAAGATGGCAGTGTTTTAAAATGGTTGCAGATCCACCATTCAGAACGAGATGCCAAATCTTCAACTGAAGAATGGATCCATCGATTTTCAGCCAGCTTTTTTTTTGATTTGTTAAGCAGTTATTAGAATTGCAGGACTTGCACAGCATCATAGATTAAGGTTTCTCGAGGGTAAATACGATAATTTCGTGCCCAAGAGTGTCTATGCGCCAGTGGAAAGGAAGCCGGCGGCACCGACAACGGCTGACGTTTTTGCGGCGATACCGTGCGACCAGCTAGATTCCAAACAAAAAATAAGGGTCGCCTTAGCCCTTTTCAAGTGAAGCAGCTGACCACTGAAAACCGACTGGATCATTTCATTCCAAACGGTGAGCCGACTGATTCTGTTATGCTGCATTCTACGATTATATCGGGGCAGTCCCGCACAAAAAGCTACTATTATACTTTATCCTAAATTCATCCGTAGTCGCCGAAATCCAACAGCCGGGTCAAAAGTCCCATTCTACGGAGGTTTTGATGAGCTCCTGTCTGTGTTTTTCTCAGCCTCACCATTTAGCACTTTTGCATTTCTATTTCATCAACAGGAAATTATCATGACAGCTGTATTCCAAGGTACTCCTCAGGATTATGTTTGTGTGTTAAGTAATGAAGGCCGGGTGAAGAGAGGAGTGCGAAGTGGATCGCCAAATAGGAAACGAAACCATCCAAAATATCCATAATGCAGACTTCCTTGTGTTCCTAATAGTGGAACTCAAGCAGCGAGCGAGAGAGAGCGATCGAGAGCAGCGATGCGGCACAGACAAGACACCGCCATGGTGAGATCATGCTTACCCTTAGACTCATGAAGAGTCGGAGGACTGAAATTCTGAGCCCTAGATCATACCGTTGAAGTTCTTGTCGGGCGAAAGTGACCCGACCTTTGCAATTGCAGACCTATGGATCG